AGCGATAGTGAAACATCTTCGGTGCCATCAGGACGCATATGGTGAAAGCTATTGGGTGTATAAGCACCATATGGCAACACATTTGCCAGAAATGTTTGAAAAACATGGGTCGCTCAGTTGCTTTGTCCAGGAACGCAAGCACAAAAACGTAAAACGTTTCGCCAAAGACCACATGTGCAAGAAGGGGCCAGAGAAGGCTCTCATGGTCCAACTCACTGCGCAGCACGCGCACGATTTAAAGACCATGCGTGTTTCACCTGGCTTAGTCGACCCAACGAAAGCAACACAGAAGCTGCTGAATGCGTTGAAACGCATGTGCCCTGGGACGCAGACAGCCGTCTCCAGCATCGAAGCCATGACAGATTTCGGCCGCATCAAGCGCGGTGATATCGTACTTCTGGGGTCGGGCGGGATGCATGCAGCAATGCAAGTGTGGTTTCACGTGAAATGCGACGATGGCGAGTCGCAGGTGCTTGTCCAGCAGCTTGCAACTAAGCATGTGAACGCCGCTGAAGGTTTTTCCAGACACATCTTTTTAGATGATACAGACCCTGTTCTGATGCCTCTGACCTCGCTGAAAGCTCCTGTGATTTACAGGAAAATAGAGAACGACATCACGTGCATTTGGCCAGTAGAATACAAATCGCGATGTTGCTAACATGATGCGCTGCGGACCGTCGCGTTTGCCCCAGGACGATAAAAAACACATCTGAAGGCCCCTGAGCAGATCCAAATCGACGAAACGCCCAATCATGATGCCCCAATTTCCAACTACATGAGATACAAAAACATAACATAAACATTAAAAAAACAGCTTCAAACTGGCCAAACCTAACTAGTTATAACTCCGTTAATAACAATTAGAAGTTCCGCTAACTGTTACTAACTACGCAGGGCCTTCAGGTGGGGGCTTCTTGGAGCTCTTGGGGCGTCTGGGGGGCCTCTTGGGGGCCTCTTGGGGGCGTCTTGGGGGCCTCTTGGAGCCTCTTGGGGCCTCTTGGGGGCCTCTTGGGAGCCTCGAGGGGACCTCCCTAGGGGCCTCTGGGGTGCCTCTTGGGTGCCTCCTGGAGGCCTCTTGGGAGCCTCCTGGGCGCCTCTTGGGGCTATCTTGGGGTCTCTTGCGACCTCCTCAGAAGCGCTAGTAAGCGCTGACCCCTGAGAAGAACGAAATCAGCCCAAAACCTTCGTACAATCAATGGTTTTGCTAAGAAGGAAGAGGAACGCTGCCCCCTTCAGAAGGCCAAAATGGGGCCAACACCGTCGTAAAACCAATGTTTTTACTTCAACGACGAGTTCAGGCGCCAAACTCCCCCCCCCCCCCCCCTCGGGGCCAGAATCCTCGTGAGGGTAGTCGTTTTTTTGGCCCTCCGAGGAGTCGAAAAAGACCACTCCAACGACCCGCGGGGCACCCTCTCCAGGTCCAGGGGGAGGGGGTAGGGGGAGGGGTAAACCCCTCCCCGAAGGGGGGGAAGGTGGGTTGGGGGTTGAGCACAGAGAAAGCTCCCTAAACCACTCACGCCCAAAGGGCTGGTGGGATTCCCAGCAACTTACTCAAGCGCCGCGCTCCCGACACTCAGGCACCCAGGAGCCGCGCTCACGCTTAGGACTCCCTTGTAGCTTACTTAGGAATCGGGATCTCGCTGCCCTTCGTGGCCACGTTGCAACCCTTCGCGGCCCCCTCGCTGCCCTTCGTGGCCCTGTTGCAGCCCTTCGTGGTCCCCTCGCTGCCCTTCGTGGCCCCTGTTGCAGTCCTGCGTGGCCCCCTCGCCCCCCTTCCGTGGACCCGTTGCAGCCCTTCGTGGTCCCCTCGCTGCCCTTCGTGGCCCCGTTGCGGCCCTTTGTGGCCCCCTTTGCTGCCCTTCGTGGCCCCGTTGCAGCCCTTCGCGGCACCCTCGCTGCCTTTCGTAGCCCCGTTGCAGCCCTTCGTGGCCCCCTCGCTGCCCTTCGTGGCCCCGTTGCAACCCTTCGCGGCCCCCTCGCTGCCCTTCGTGGCTTCGTTGCACCCCTTCGTGGCTCTCTCGCTGCCCTTCGTGACCCCTGGTGCAGCCCTTCGTGGCCTCCTCGCTGCCCTTCGTGGTTTTATGTACGTATGCTTTTTGTGGCCTCCGCTCCTCCGCGCCAGTCGTGGCCCCATATGCATGCTCTTCGTGGTCCCTCTGTCGCCCTTCGTGGCCCCCTCGTTGCCTGTCGTGGCTCCGTTGCTGCCCTCAGTGGCCCCGTCCTTGCCCTCTGCGGCCCAATGCACGTGTGCCCTTCGTGGCCCCTGCTCGTTCGCGCCCGTCGTGGCCCCATATGCATGTCTTTTGTGGCCCCACTGTCGCCCTTTGTGGCCCCCTCGCTGTCCTACGTGGCCCCGTTGGTACCCTCAGTGGCCCCTTCGTTGCCCTGTGGCCCCGCATTGTCTGCCCCTCGTGGCCCCTGCTCGTTCGCGTCTTTCGTAGCCTCATGCGCATGCCCTTCGTGGCCCCGCTGTCGCCCTTCGTGGCCCCCTTCCTGCCCTTCGTGGCCCCGCTGTCGCTCTCGCTCTCGCTCTCGCTTTCGC